TTTCGAGATACGGAGCCCCGCACGTTCATGTTAATGTTTACACGTGATTCTTTTCGTGTGTGCATGCGTGCGTGCGTGTAGTAATCAAGTAATAGCATCCACAGTTCAAACTCACCCGTCTGTATCAATCGTGTTAAACATTTCTTTTGGACCCCAGTTTTCTCCCTGATCATCCTGGTCCTCACCAGCCTGGTCCTCGTCTTCCTGGTCCTCAACTTCCTTGTCCTCAACATCCCTTTTCCTCCCGTTATTCGTACATCTGCAACTGGCGTAGGGTTTCATCGTCGAGCCTTGACGTATGTACATGAAACTGTGCATATAATGCAACGATCTCGTATTTATTACATTGACTTTGACAAGAACACTCTCTTCATGATGTCAGGTGGATGATGAATTCACTATTTTATTAACCTATTTCTTGTTGTTAATATTTACTTATTTTCATTCATTCATTTATTGTTTTCCTATCTTTATTTTACTCTGGTTATTTCATTTACTAATTTTTACTGTAACTAACACAAAAATGTACGCAGAATAGCCAGGGAAATATATGTGAATGTCTTGTGATATTTTATAAATATGTACATGACATTTTTCGTGAAATTTATTTCAAGCCATTGGTTGTATTAAAGCAAGAGAAAGAGAGAGCGACTTGATCTTACGTGATGGCCGCACCGCAGTCACTTCTACATGGACTATCACACGCGCAACCAAATGAGTTACATTCCCCATATGAACAGTGAGGGGATGCCTGAAATATAAATCGTGAATTAATTAATCTCTCTCTCCCTCTCTCTCTTTATCTCTGCTCAATCCTCCTCCTACACACGCTCACCAACACGGCGCACGCATACACACACACGGGTACACACACACACGGGTACACACACACGTACATAATGGTTTCCAGGCGACCATTTACGTATTGCATTTCAATTTCAATAACTTAAATGTACGGTGTCATTTTTTCTTTGTAATGCTAAGTTCACCTTATACCATACATGTGTTGTGAATGTGTTACGTATGCACTTCCCGAGAAAATACCCCGGTTAATACACCGGTTCTAGTAGACCCACCTTCGTGCAGTCTGCGCAGAAACCCCTCTTCCCTTTGCCGCAGCAGAGAGATTCAGCTTGCCAGAACCAATCCAATAAACGCAAAAGTAGCAAAGGTAGTCATCTTCTAAAATGTGAAGTGACAATATGACAATATGACAAAAGGACAAAAATTACGAAATTTCAGAGGACACTGGAGCTCAATTCCATTCTGTCAACAGCTATACTATACTGTCAGCCGATTAGAGAATTCATACGATGTTCTCTAAAACCCAATGTGCAAAAGGGCAATCGGCGTCCTGACATACTATGCAGCATTTTAATAAAATTTCATCGACAGAATTTTTACCTAAGTGATCCTTGATTACTTCTCTCTCAGCCTCGAAATGATTGAAAAACGACCACAGTATGAAGTATTTATACCGTTTTCAACAGCAGTGCAAGCTCGGTCAAGGCAGCGGATTTTGAAGTAGTGTAAACAGCTGTATCCTCAAGAGATCAAAGCATTTGTAACGGACATTAAAGGTTTGTACTGGTACAGGCATTTTACAATGATTTGCCTTAGTCTGGATTATCATTAACCGACTGATTCGGCAATACCTAGAAAGATAATTGAGACTGCTTTCCATTTGTGGAAATTTTTTTCATCACAAAGACAATACATCTTTAGGTTTTATGAATGTGCATTTTAAAAATCTTTCTTAAATCGGTTGAACGTGATTATTAGACATAACATCATCGATTCATCAACGAATCAAAGGATTCAGAGGTCTGATGACATTTTTTTTAACTGAAAACCCCCAAAGCTAGGCGAAAAACGTGGTGACACTGTATTCTGTTTAGTTGCACCGGTGAAGTGGAATACATGTTGCCTGTTTACCTACAACATATAAAAGCACAGGAGCTGCTGCACGTTTAATATTTGTTTGCAGGTTCAAATTCTTGAAAGTTCATCGATGTTTTGATAGAAAATATTTCTTATTATTGCGTTTGATAACCATTACAGGAAAAACGTACAAGCAGAGGGTGGTTAAGTCAGTCGCGGTGTAACAGGAATGGACGTCCTACCGGGTAAGAATGAAGTGCGGCTGCCATATGATTTGTACAGGTTAGGGTTATTGGTGTATTAGGGTAAATAAAATGAATTTGTAAATAATTTCCATCAACATGAGCAATAATTGTGCAGTGAAAGGAGGTTTGAGATTGACTGTAGTTTCAATCAAAACTTGGAAGACAAAATGGATCTATTTTAGTAATAGTTTTTTCAAATAGAGAGATAGAGAGAGAGAGAGAGAGAGAGAGATTACCTCAAATGCACGGGTTTCATTTGATACAAGTAGCCCTGTGATGTACGAGAACTATTACATTTTATAAGTAGTTCATCGTAACTTTTAATATACACATATTTCCCCCTAAGAATGTATTTCAATTATTCACACGATTCTCCATTCGTTCTACATTGCATTGCCGTATACAGTAGATCAAAGTAGTTTCTGTATCAAAAGTTGTTAGTACCAGTATCGTAATGTGCCTTTACAATGACAGATGTATGAGACGCTTTCATAGTAAAACCCTCATACGTCTAGGCATTCAATCCGTCAGTTTAACTGATTTTGTTTTAATCTGGGTGGAGATATAAATGTGAAGGTTGTCAAACTTTGTAAATTCATCTCAAAAGTTATAAAGCGTGTGTGGGCTTTCTACTAAAGAAGCAGAATTGTTCAAATTTTACAAAAAACGTCAACATTATCTTCCATTTGATTTTAACACCACGCATTTACTAATTTCTTAGAGCAACCACTCGACCATGACAGTAATTATAAACCTTTCTTCTACTTCTTTGTTGTTTCTTTTTTGGTAGCACCCTATGTTTCTAAATCCATTTTCTATTTGCTTGACTTTTTTCTGGGAACAGGTTGGGAGGGAAAAGAAGGACAACTCCCGTTCGCAAGGTAATATTTCCAGTATTTCATAACAGATTACGGAAAAATATTACACTGTGAACGTGAATTGTCCTATTATTTTCCCTTCCAACCAGTTCCCAGAAAAAAAGGCGTGCAACGATAAAATGGACTGGAAAACAAATGGTGCCACCAAAGAAGAAACGCGTGATGTTAAAACCAAATTGAAGATGGTGTTGACCTTTTGTGTGAAATGTGAACAATTCTCTTTTTTAATAGAAAGCCAACACAACTTTTATAACTTTTAAGCACAACTGACAAAGTTTGACAACCTTCACATTCATATATCCACCCAAACAAAAATTATACTGACGGACTGAATGTCTGTATGAGGGTTTTACTATGAAAGCGTCTCATACGTCTGTTATTGAAAACGCACATTACAATACTGGTACTAACACCTTTTGATTCAGAAACTACTTTGATCTGCTGTATACGGGAATGCAATGCAGAATGAATGGAGAATCGTAATGAATAATTGAAATATATTCTTAGGGGAAATGTGTGGAAATTAAAAGTTACGATGAACTACTTATAAAAATTAGTTGTTCTCGTATATTATAAGACTTCTTGTATCAAGTGAAACCCGTGCATTTAAGATAATCTCTCAGGTTGAGTTGAGGATGAGATTCATTTATTAATTAATTGTCCATTTTTTAATGATCATCGTACTGATGTTGTATATATAAAAATGAAAGAATAAAAGTGGTATGGTGTCTCCTTGAACTAAACGCAGTCTTACTGATGTCATCTATCACGCTCCCTGAAAAATAAGAAAAAAAAATGAAATGACATAATATAGATATAGGTTAAAATCGATAATGATAATAAAAAACTGAACGTTGGGCGATAATGTACATGGGGAGATAATTGCTCTTTTAAATTATCCTAGCCAACTTGCTCCAACGAACCACTTTCGCTTTTTATATGCACAATGTTATTCCCTGTGGGTTTTGGCGGGGAGAGATATCCTATTGTACGTGTTCTAAACGAACATCAAGGGCAGCCGAGGATGATGAGATACGGACCGAAGTGATGTGTTCGAAATCTTTAATAAAGATGGATGAGAGTAAACGGTGCTTGTTCTGTAAAAAAAATCAATCGCTGAATTCAATAGTATTAATTTGATAAGTAACGCGTTAATTTATAGCAAGTTCCATCCTTCTATACAAAAGAAATCTTAACAACCAGATGTTATATGGAACTTATTTGAGGAGATAAAGATATATTAAGCCAATGAATTATAACATGGACAATGTAGGGAATGCATAACTCTTAAAAAAGCAGTGTGTCAAACAAACTTGAATCAGTGATTTGATTTAAGTTCTGATATCTTAAAATGCGTAAAAGGGAATCGACTGATGTTAAAATGCTATAAAACCCCGTTTACAACCCTAAAAACTAAATCTCTGGATCTGCTTGGTAAAAAAAAAAAAAAGAATGTAAGCTACATGCAGGGGAAAACTTACGCTCACGACTCCATTGATTAATCAGCTGTCAGCAACGGCGACTGTCTTTGAAAGCCACTTGGTAGATCACGTGATAACACAGGTGACTCTAAGATGTACATGTAGTGGGCCTATGGAAAATTAAATTAAAATATATTTTACAACCTTAAAACATATGAAAAGGGCATCTTACCCACTATAGGTCCTTTAATTGTCGATGTTGAAATTCTTGTTAGGGTTTTGTCCGCCATTTTGAAAATTGTCATTTTACCAACCTAAATGGCTGTTTTCAAAAAAAAAAAAAAAAAAAAAAAGATACACCTGTGTGTTAAGCATCCTTTTTTTTGGCCATAGAAATCACTCGCTCATCAAAAATTTGTTTCACTCAACCTTTTTCAAAATAATTATATACGTGCATATAATTACTACAGTTACTGTACATGAAAAACATATGCTTTGTATGCATTTCCAAAAATAGTAAAATTACCGACCTAAAGAGTGCTCCTAGTTAGCTCAAATTTCTCATCAGAAATGAAATTTTTGGCCCATTTTGTCTCTAAATCACCTGTTCATGGAGAGATATCTTTAAAAAAAGTTATTAATTACCCTACCCTATTAATATACCCCTGTACATGTAAGTGCCGCAGTTTGTGTCTATGTGCACGTGTGAGGTCGGTTTGGCATGTGAGGATGATGGTGTTGGTACTTGTACCGGTATATGCACGTTCATTTTATGTTTACACGTGTTTCTGTGAGCGCGTGAGTGTGCGTGTAGAAAGTACAAGCATCCAAAGTTTAAACAT